TCGATTATAGTAATAACTGGTGTTAAAAGCTCACTTTTACATTGGTGGATTTCCAACCGATGTTAAAAGTTAAAGTAATTTTTTTTTTATTTTTCTTGCATTATAATTTTTAATATCGGCTTTATAACGGATGTAAAAAATTTTAGTTTTTGCATCGGATTTATAACCGATTTAGAAAGATGGACTTTTTACACCCTCTGGAACAACATCACCTCTTTAACTGCTATAAAAAAGTTCATTTTTAACCTCTGAAAAAGTTATTTTTGTATTAGTGAAATCTCAAATCCTAAACTAAATCTAATATTAAAGATACTAATATCTAAGATAATAAGAAAATAAATAATAAATTCTTATTCTAATGGATAAATATCCTAATAGATAACTCTAATATCTTAAATTAAACCCTAATTATATCTTAGCTCATATTATACCAAAAAAGTTTACCATTGTTCACAATAATTGGACTATATATTTGATGGTGAGCCCAACTTTCTCTTCACACTTACTTGATGATGTTCTGAATGAAGAGCATTTTTAATTGCAATGCCTTTTTTACATTGAGAAATGTATCCAAAATAAAATAAACTGAAGAGGTGAAAACACAACATTAATTACCTAATTACTGAGAAAGCTTTCGACTGGGTTCTACATATATATCAAGGGGAGGTGACACGGTTCTTCTCTTGCGTTGCACTGTCATCGTCTTGTTGGATTTCACCAGCATAACCCTACCATCCTTACTCCCATAAAATAAAAAAGACCAAACCAAATACCAAGTCGTACAACTTGACGGAAAACCGGAAAGCGAATTGATCTCTTAGGAAAATATCCTAAAAGGCCAAGTAGTAATATAAGGAAGACAAAGATGAATCCGATGATACTTGTAAGATCTGCAAGAAAGCTATCATTTCTGACAACCAAAACGTATGGCAGCCATAAATGCCACTGGCATGGTTCCAAGAGCCAGGTGGACAAAATATGTAGAGATAATATACGCTCGTCTTGAAAACATGACGATCAGGCAATTGCCTCCAGAAGAAGAAGAATAGTACCGAAAGTGGATAAATACATGGCAGTGGTGTTGAAAGTCATAAATATTTTGAACAGGGTTGATCAGTCAACACTGCCATGCCTCTTTTTTTAGGGACTGGGTCATCCGAACTGTATACTCCACTGGCATTGTGATACCAGCAGCAAATGTCACTGTGGCTACCAGTACGGCCACAATTATGAGTGTGTTAGCCGCATCATTCTCATTCCATGCTTTTTTCACTACATGATTTGATCTCAGCTTAGTATTATGTTTGAGTGAGGCACCAGCCAATATTAGAATCATATATGCTGCTAGCTGCAAGTGATCAAATCAAGCAAGTAGATGTTAACATGTCATAATATTTTATTTTAAAACTGCAAATTTTTCTAAATCAAACCTGTAGAAAAAGAAAGAGATTATTTAAAAAACATATTGGATATATAGATACTTCAAAATACCTCTATACGAGTCATTAGAGATTTTCTTTGGCTTCCGATAATATCAATAGCTGTTAAACCCTGGTCTTTACGACGTTCATTTATTCTTTTGTCTCGTGTAGATGGTCTAAAGTCCAAAGATACAACTTTCTTGAAGCCAGATGCAGCGGGGTGTCTCCATTTAGCAGGTCTTTCTCATTCACAGTTTTGGAATTGATCTTTGGGTGCTTCAATAGGTATTTTACCATCTTGCTTTTTCCTCTCATAGATGCAATGTGAAGAATGTTTCGACCTTTATTATTGAGTGAAAAAACTTGTACAAGGCCCTCGTACACGTAGCAATTCTTCAAACCACCTGAATGTGGCCCTTATAGCAAGCAAAGTGAATCGGAAGATCACTTCCTGAATTTCGTTGAAAGGCGAGAAGGGTGGATTTGTTTAAAAGTTCACGAACACCTTCCACATAACCAGTGCGTGCTGCATAATGGAGGGGTGTGTCTCCATTTTCATCAGTGAGGAACATCAACTTTTCTTTATTGTCTACTATCTCCTTCAAAGCAGCTACACATAAAAGAAAACATATTTTATATATAATTAAAAATGGGTTATATTTAAAAAAAGTAATACATCTGGTAATTAAAAGTAGATTGAAATATATAAAACTTGAGATATGTTTAATTTAACCAAGTGAGTGATTTAAACAATTATAGTGAAGTGAATAATCATCAAACATACTTGCATTTGACCATGCCATTAAAGCCATTTGACCAGGGACCAGAAAAATAAAAAATGGCCAAGAAAAAAACAAAGAGAAAAAACAAAAAAAAAAAGAAAAGGAAAAAAATGAAAGAGAAAGAAAAGCAAGAGAATAAAAAACAATAAAAAAATTAAAAATATGGACATGACGCCTCCAAAGCTATTTTTTTAAAAAAAGAACAAGCCCATACAAAATAGTTGAGGGAGTAATAAAGAAAGAAATATCATATCTTAGTAATTTTAAAATTATTTACATTGAATATATAAAATTTGAAATATGTTGACCGACCGAAGTTTAAACTATTTAGATGAAAGGAGAAATCTTTAAACATAACGTAAAATAATTGACATGACAACCAGAAAAGCAACACATTGATCAATTATTTTGGCATCCCACGCATATACATACCAATATTGCGTTGTGATATGGCGGCAAAAAGTGGAGAGTTTCCCTGACGCTTAAAAATGTCCCAGTCTGTGGGAAACGGAATTTGCAAGAGACGATGAAGAATTTCAACATCCCCAGTTTGGACTGCCACATATATTGGTGAGTCTGCTGGGTGGGTGTCCCAATAGAAAGGCCAAGTACTCTCACTTTGCTCACTTAGAAGGAAATCAAACCCCTCACGATATTTGCTCGAATAGCTTCGTGCAGAGCTCTATTCCCAGATGCATTGGGTAACATAATAAAGTTACCTTAGTGATAACATCGCCAAATTTGGACAAGATGACTCTCATCACTCCAATATTCTTAGCTCTTGCAGAAACATGAAGCGCTGTGTCTTTTTTTACATTTGTCACAATCAGCAAAAAATTATTATCAACAAGCAGCTCTGCGATCCTTGTTCTCCCACGTTCAGCTGCAACATGGAGCAACGAATCACCCGTGGGAGTGGCTTGATGTAAGATGGTGGGACAATCAAGTTGTTTTTCTGTACATACTCTCTCCAAGACGTCTAGAAATCTACTTACATCTTCATTCTCATCATGAACAGCGTTGTACAGTTGAACTCATGGTGTCATTATGAATAACGCCAATTTGATCATGATTGACTGAAAGAAACGAACTGCTTCTTCAGCAGTTCTTGCAGTCTTCTGTAGCATGGTTCCTTCCAGTTTGAATTATTAGTTTCCATGGGAATTTCCACCTGCTTCGACTTTCTTGTTGCAGAAAATAGTGAGAAACAAGATGTGCTATTAATAAGAATAGTAACAAGAGAAGAAATCGACTTCAAAGAGATGAAAACAACTCAATAACTTGAGAGTTTTAAAGATGAGGAGCAACAAGAAATGAAAAATGAGATCCGAGAAAAAGACGCAGGACTATTGGACTAAATTTTTTTAAAAAAAATTGTAAAGTTAAAGATTCGTTGCATAATTTCATCAGAGGTTATACTTTATTTTGGGAATAAATTAATATGAAGAATATATGACAATTAAAGTAGATCATCTTCTTATTTGATTGGATGATGTGGGGTTAAGCCAACTAGCTCCTTGCCTCTACGGCAGTGGCACGTCCATGTAAACCTTAGTTGGTTGAAACGAATAGACAGCAAGTTTGTGTATGGAACGTATCTTTATAATGCATGCTTTTATTTTTATAATCAGCCCAATTACTTTATTCTCCTTTTGCTTTTGTGAGGTACTTTCCGTGGGAGAAATTGGACAAATCTTTAGATAAACAGGGTGCATTATGTCATTTATGATTATCTAATTAGAATAACTCAAGTCACTTAAATATAATATTATGTGACATTACTTTATTGATTTTATTCTTACATAGAATGCATATTATGAGAATTTTCAATTGGTTATCTAATCAGAATCATTTTCTTACTTGTTCCTTAATTAGTTCCCATTCCCTTCAGCCCTAAAAGTAAGTTAATTAGTCGAGAATTTTACATTGATATTGGGAAAAGGGAACAAAGCAAGAAAAACAAGATAGCAACCATTGGCGAACCTCTGCATGTGCCCCCACACCTTCATAATTTATTACAAATTGTATGCATTTTACATGAAAAAAAAATCAAGGATTTTTAGCCCCAATCTTATTGTCCAATTCTTGACCCCCATGTATGTGATCCTGGCTTCGTCCCTGATAGTAACTAAAGAAAAAAACCCAGACACAACAGACACAGATTCATTTATTGTTCATATTAATTTAGTCTCAAACATAAAAAAAAAAAAATTTATGAAATTATGCAACCAGTTAATCGAACATTTTATATATTAAGCTTATGCTAATGAATCTTAACTTTTAAAATTTATAATTATGATATGAAAATTTAAATTATTTAATGATTTCAAGAAAAAATATTTTATCATAACTGATCAGAAATACTTGTAGTATAAGAAGTTGAACCTTGAATACGACAATAACAAAATAATAAAAATAATATAAAAAAGAAATAAGCTGTAACTTATCTTGCTCAAAAATATTTTTATTTATTCTCCGAAAATTGTATCGTTCAAGCATTAGGAATAATAATTAGAATTTTAAAGTTCATAAAAAAAATTGGATAGTTAAAATTTTGAATGTGATTCTCTTCTCACCTTTAAGTTTCAACACACTTTATTTTCATATCCGGTATCTTCTCCAAGACTACAACATACACCAGCATCCTTTACTCCTTACCCCTCTCTTTTTTAACTCGTAAGTTTGTAACTTAAAGTCTGATGGAAACACTTTTTTCGCTTGGTTTCCTGCCAGCTAATAAAATAAAATAAAATAAATGTAACATTGCAAGTGTATATGCTAAAAAAAATATAATATAATGATGTGACCAAGTCATACCCACACAGAATCAATCTGTCACACCTAAAAATATAGGAGTGACCGGCACGTGATATGTACTAGAACTCACACATCTTAAGTTTTAACTCAAGAAATTTTTAATTATTCTTAAATCATGAATATATTTGCAATAGAATCAGGATATTTTTCAATACGTTCCATACAAATAAAACCTACATTTTTCTTTTAAATTTTAGGCATAACCTTCCCTAAAATAGAACCTCCAAAAAAAAAATTATTACAACATGCAGTTTCACAAAACAAACAATAGCAACAAGGAGTTTTGCTCTCATCAGTAAATAGACAAAATATAAATAATAAGGACAAGGATCCTAACTACAAGTTATGTAAAACTGCTTGACATAAGATTTATAAAATATAATACAAGGATTTAAGTTCACATTAAAAGAAGCTCAATTTATAATTCTTCACTACAAGTGAATACTATAGCCCATCAATGGTCAGCAAGAGGTATAACATCAACTAATTTATGAGATCAAAATAATATTTTCAGCTAATAACTTCCCAATAATGATAAAATTTAAAAGAATAAATGAATAAACTTAAGCAATTATATATGTAAATAAGTGGAAAGAGAATAATACAATATTAATATGCCCACTTTAATCTTGGAATTAAAAAAATCATAAACCACTAAGTAAGAGTAAACTAAAAATAGTCTTATCTTATTCTTTAGGAATCAAATTATCACGCCCCAAAAATAAAGGAAAACTGATATGGGGTGTGAACTATATCACACTTCCTCTAAAACCTTCAATCGAGAAACCTTTTCATTTCTGAAACATAATTAAATTTATATTAAAATTATGATATCCTTAATAATATATATATTAAACAAAAGTTCATATTTTTTGTAGAAAAATTGCAGCAAAACCTCCCTTGTAAATAGACTTCTCAACAATTCTATAATACAAAATTTTCACATGAAATATCATATCAATCAATAGCTCAGCTCCTTCTAACCACTAGATAGAGTATATAACAAAAATAAAGACCCTAGCTAGGCCTATGTGAAGCACTTAGAATTTAATTTACAAAATACATCAAAAGGTATATTAGCCTATAGCTCCTCCACTTTCTAGTCACAGATAAACCCCTCAATGATCACTAGGAGGTTAAGTGTTAGGTAATAAATCTGATATCAAAATAATTTTTCATTAAATAACATTCCAATTATAAAATTTACAAAATCAAAATAACTAAAACCACAAAGTAAAGTAAAATCTACAGGGAAAACAATTCAAAGACGTATGCTTGCTTAACCTTGGAATCAAAATCATAAAACCATTAGATAAGAGTAAAGTAAAATTAAAATCATATCTCCATTAAGTAAAAAAAAACAAACAACTTTCTTTAATAATAGCTCTATTTCATATATTTCCAACTGACATTTATCAACCCAAACTTCTTAAACTATATGTGGTCAACATTCAAACAACTCAATTGACACATCTCAGTTTCAAGTCATAACAATTTAAAAAAAAACTTAATATTAATTTAAATTTTATAATTTCAACAACTCAATTCCACACACACACACATTCAAGCCATATTTGTACCTTCTTTGATTTCAACTTCAACGCAGAGATTGAACAAAATAAATTCAAATTTCAGTCTCAACCACAGAATATACTTGATTGCCTTTTCCAACACCAATAGCGAAATTTTAATCAAGGACATATACATGCGTGCACACAAAACTTTATTACTCTATTGATTAAAAAAATATTTCTATAAACCCCCTTTATCAAACACCTTAAGTGCATCTCAAAACAAATTACTCCTCCCAATCCTATTTGTAAAATATCTTCTAAAAGTAATTGGGAGAATTATATATAGGTCCCATATAAGAAAATTAATTATTACAAGATTCATTAATAATTGAACTAAAGCCATTGATAAAGCAATGTTGTTCTTTTCATAGTTAATTGTTAATAAACCTTTGTAATAATTAATTCTCTTATGTGGCACTTCAACTTAATTCTCCCAAAGTAATTTTTGATCCAAAATATAGGACACATTGTAATAATTAAACATTTTTTTCAGTTTTATCTTTTTTTTGTTTAGCATGAAGTTATTTAATATAGTTGTTTAATGATTTTAAGTTAAAGATTAAACATAAAAGTTCTTATTCAATTTTTTATTTTAATATTAAAGAAAAAATTATTTTTTTTTCAAAATGCGTGGAGGTTAGAAGGAGTATAAAACAACCCCTGGTTTATAAAGCATCAACTGTAAAACTCCAAAATAAATAACCACAACATAGTTCAATAGTTACATAGCTACATAATCAAAAATTCTTGGCAAAACTTAATTCATGAATAAATAGCACCCATATCAAAAGCATTCTTCATAAGAATTGGGGAGGGAATTTCATAAAATACATAAATAAATAAAAAAGCAAAAAATGAAAGGCAGTTTCATTACAGTGGTAGACCACTGCCTGTCCTGGAACTTCTAGTTCCAATCGAAGCATATATATCCATAAATGAATTTGTAATATAACACTTCAGTCGTGCTCGTTGTTTCTCGAAAGTATCTTTTTTTTTTTGGGAACATGGTCAACTAGACATTATTATGTTTGCATTCTTCATCTGTCGATGCAAAAAAATGATCTAGTTTTCCATTCTCATATGAGGCTAAAAAGTTTATTGACAATGGGTCAGCACGGGAGTATCATCATGCTCAAACATGAGGCAATCATCAATTGCACTCTTGTCGACATAAATCCTTAACTACCACCAACTTCCTTTCCTTCAAATTTCATTTTCCAAACATTTCCAATATCAATATTTGTGATCACCTAGCTCTCTAAATTTTAGTCCTTCAACGGGGGAAAAAATA